GATTTCAATAGTTGCGCCAACTGAAGCGGGAATGGGCTCGTACATGGAAAATGCTATAAGCATACAAGCGAAATTCTCAATATTTATAATATTTCAAATACTAGGATTAAAAGGATTAAGTTTAAAATTTTTATGTTAATCGGTCTTACATGACTCAGTTGGCTTGATTGCTTGGAGATGATATTATTTGATGCTCGACTTTTTGTTGCCCGTAGAGCTATTCATCTGGCTGCGCTATGACTGACCAAACTTAGAACAATCAACTCGTTTCTTATAGTATTACTGTAGTATTCTATGACTCATAGAAACAAGACAATTCAAAGATAATATTCTTATAGTAAGAGAATGACTCATGTATTTTCCTTTAAACACTAGATTTATATCCTCCACTTAATCCAATTTTTAACTCCGGATCCATCAAAAAAAAAAACAATTCCACCTTTGACACTGACACTGTCTTCCGACTACTGTGACATTCCTTTTTTTGAGATGTTCATCTGAGATCAGAAGCTGTCGCAAATCCGGGTCATCCTTTAGAGCCCATCACCATCCGGTTGACTCGTGTCACGTATGGTTGCCAGTCTCCTATAGGTTTTTTTTTGCAAGAGGTAACTGTAAGCCAGTGCTCTAGATTTGCTACACGTTCTGAATACTTACCTAGACTGAGACGCCAAAAAGTTCTCTCACGGTTAGCACAAGACGCGTCTAATGTGGCTTTTCTGGTTAAATGTATCACTGAGGAGGATGAAGGAGTTATGATTCAAAGTAAGCCAAAAGATAAAAAGAACCTTTTTTTGTAAGGAGCCACGAGCATACACAATTTGTAACAAGAGAGATGTGTAGCTCAAAATTAATAAATCAGCAAGAGTTTCGAAATTCAACGTACATCCGGAGAGGGACGGAAAAAACCAAGTTTCTCCAAACTTTAATTGTTGTGGGATTTCAAAATAAAACACACATTAACATTTTTTTTCCTGTATCAGATTGCATAATTAGAATTCCAATATCACGTTTTGTTTCTTGGCTTCCAGCTTCTACTTCATTTCTTCTCACAGACGCCATATTCAAAAATGTAGAATAATGTCATACATTGACATTGACAAGCCTTAGTTAGAAAAGTCGAACTTTCTAGGTAGGCCTTGAAATTATCAGACCTCATTTGTTTCGTATACCAGACCAGACCTCAAATTGAACATAGCAACAGAGCTTGGAAGACTGAGAAGAAGAGAAGTAAATTGGGCAGAGAACAACGTACAGAGAACATTCAGGGTTTGCCTACAAAATAACGAACATTTTCAATATCTGCTATGATTCACCTCTCTTATTTATTACCCTCAATTAAATTTTCATGTTGTGTTCAGGTTTCACCATAATGCTTTTTATTTCTTATAGTTTTCATCCAACAACAAATTCATGGGCAACTAAGGAAATACTTCACTAAATTTAGGACTGAAAAGTCCACTTAAATGTATAAAATTCCAATATATGCGTCTGTATGAAAACAAAGTTGGTGATAGACGTCGATAGAAAAAATATCGAATTGAAGGTTTAACTACGCCATCTTGTAGAGGAGAATAACTAACAATGAAAACATTTATTTTGAAAACGATTTCAAACAAAGCCAGGAAAAAAAATGATTTTGGGATAAATCTGGTATGCGTTACAAATGACAATCTCCTAATCTCAAGGCCTACCTAGGAAATTCTGCTTTTTTTAAAATTTATGAGGTCTGGTAATGTCAATGTATGACGTATTATACATTTTTGGAATGATAATTGAAAACCCTATTGATCTGTTCGAAAACTGAATAGGGAGTACATAAGAAAAAATAAATTTGATGCTAGAAGACAAGATATGAAACGTCATATTGAAATTCTAATTATGCTATTTTGTAGAAGAGAAAAAGTGGCAATGTTAATGTGCAATTTAGTTTGAAAGTCAGGAAAAAAATTAAACGATTTTGGGAAAATTTGTTTTTTTCCGTCTCTTTCCGGAAGTAGGTACTTTGTTGATTACCGAAATGCGCAACTTTGCACTTGTCTAAGTGACCTATCTTTTACAGTTTTCGAGATCCCAATGGTGAGGGTCGAATTTGAAACACCCTGATAGATTGCATAATAAATATACAAATGTTTTAATAATCATTATGCCCGTTAGTCCTGTTATTCAAAGTTATTAGTTTTCAGGTTTATGTTTTCTAGTTCTCCAGTATACAACTTCTAAAAATAACAGGGTTATCCAAATTAAGTGTCCACCATTAGTAACTTTGTTATTAGTGAAAATACAAAGTTGTTTGAATTAGCAAACTAGTAGCATTTTTAACGCTGGTAAAAATGAGAATAAAAAAAAACAATTGAGAGTCGTTATTTTGATTTTTTTCAGTAAAATAACATTTTTTTAAATGGAAACCCCTGTATATTATATTTTTTTCTGTTAAAGCGTCAAATTTTAAACAAAAAAGCTTACAATAACTTTTCTCCTAGGTTACAAATTGTTGAAGTTATGGCCTCCAATCTGAAACAATTAAATTGTATCGACAAACTTTATTTTCAACATCAACTTATAATCTTACAAAATACAATAACAATTTTTTTAAAGAAGATGCTCGAAAACACCACCTTGTTCTTCAATACATTTTTGGGCACGTTTTTCAACTGCTCGAACTGTCTTAAGTATGGTCCTACCATCTATCTGGGTTATCTTTTCCCTAACTGCAGTCTTTAACGCGTCAAGGTTATTGTACCTTCGCTTGTAAATTTGGTTCTTTAAGTAACCCCACAAGAAGTAATCAAGTGGGTTTAGATCTGGTGATCTGGGAGGCCACTGTATTGGGCCATTTGTTCCTATCCACTAATCATTAAAAGTAGTACTTAGAAAATGATAAGTACCTCTGGAGTTGTGGGCAGGTGCGCCATCTTGCTGAAAATGCAGATGATGTCTACTTATAAGATCCAATTCGTCTAAGAAATTAGTCAGAATTTCTGACATAAATTCCACATATCTTTCACCAGTTAGGGTTCCCTCATAAAAGGACGGGCCAACAATTTTTGAACCAATTATAGCGCACCAAACGTTGAAACTGAAACGGACTTGTGGGCCTCTTGGATGTACTAACAAAAGATTTTCTCTTGACCAATAATGGTGGTTTTTTCTATTAAACATTCCAGAATTTGAAAAATTTGATTCATCTGTCCATAAAAGGTAACGAAAATTATTATACATTTTGGCGACAGAAGCTAAGATACCAATGGCAAAAAACAAGTCTTCTCTCTGGATCCCCTGCCAAAAGCGTTTGAACTGGTCGGTACTTATACGGAATAAATTTGTATTTTTTTAAAATCCTTTGAACAGTACCATAACTAAAATTAGAGTCCTTGATAATATCTGCTACTGAATTCTCACGATAAGCTTCAAAATATCCAATAACTGCAATTTCCGTGGCCTCGCTTATTATGAATTCTTTTTTTGCCCTTGTTTTAGCAAAAACATTTTCGTTGCCCCTAAATTTTCGATAAAGTCTCAGAAAATATCGTTCATACGGTTGAATGCGAGCGGGATATAATTCACTGTAGTATTCTCTTGCTCTCAAGGAGGATTTTCTGCACACTAAATAGCATTCTAACATATCACACTTTTCTTCATGGGAGAACATTTTTCTTTAAATTAATGACACAATAAAGCTTATAAACAAGTATTTACACTAATGTTTGACATTATTTGATTTTATCATTGTTTTCCAAAGCCTTCTAGTTGCGAGTATGTCCAGTTTAACAATTTGTCGCTTATCTTAATGCTGTCAAATCTCGAACGCCATGTTGTTTTCATAGCCGTCTTAATATTATAATACTGCAAATAATTAAAAATATTTATCGTTATTTTGACTTTATTTTTGACTTTAGCGGAAAAGTCATTATGAACTTTTTTGTTTAAAATTTGATGCTTTAAGAGAAAAAAATATAATATACAGGGGTTTCCATTTAAAAAAATGTTATTTTACTGAAAAAAATCAAAATAACGACTCTCAATTGTTTTTTTTATTTCTCATTTTTACCAGCGTTAAAAATGCTACTAGTTTGCTAATTTAAACAACTTTGTATTTTTACTAATAACAAAGTTACCAATGGTGGACACTTAATTTGGATAACCCTGTATAGTCAGATCTTCTCGCAACAAGGTTTAAACATATACAGGGTGTTTCGTTCCTAAATTAACATAGCGAAATGGTAGTACAGACCAAGACCTTTTTATATCTGGAAATAAAAAGTTTTAAATTTTGCTTTTCCCGTATACAGCGTGATTTATCTAGCCTTCAATATCCGAAACAATAAATACACAGGGTAACCTACCTGGCTCCGGAATTTTGACTTCCCAAAACATCTTTGGTTCAATCGTTTCGTAAAATGTTGATAAAACCAAGTTGATAACACCTTAGGTTTTACATTCCATATCACTTAAACAGCTAAAGCGAGATGTATTTATAAATAAAAATGTTTACCTACCAAAGAACTAACAGAGACACAATCAATCTATTTTGCGATATAGGTATCACCATTTTAACTTATTTAGCTTGAAATGTGATGATTTTGGGAAAAAACAAAATGTTGAAAAACTATGTCCGGTCGTGGATTTTTAACCGTCTGTCTTATTTTACGTTACCCCTATGTGACTTAAACATCATAAAAAACGTCTTCAAACTCGGATCAATAGTGTCTGAGGTATCTGATATTAAAGATTCGGCCTATTCAGATAAATCATCATGCATATCCGTATAAACTGAATTTAGAACCTTTTCAATTTGCCTATTTAAGTATGCTCTGTATAAGTATATCTTTTAATACTGAGGCTAACGGGACGAGTAAAATAGTCTCAACACACTAACACACATGGACATACATTTTTTTGCGTCTGATTGAAGTTTGGAGTCGCGTTCAAAAAGAAGAAGAAGACGGGGTTCTTTGGTGAAATCTGTTGGCTAATAAGGGTGCAATTTTTGTTTTCAGATATGATTTGGATAAGAATGACCGTTTTCTGCCTGAGTATAGCTAGCAGTTTTGCAGCTCCTGCAAATAATGAATTGCTTGATAAGGTAAGCAAAATACTTAACATCTAGTCTATTGCATAGCTCCTTCCTACGTAAGAATATCGAGAAGGGTCTTAGATATCTGTGCAACAGGCAACAAAAAGCAATATCTTGTTAGATTCTTTGCTGATATCGACCAAAGCAAGGTCGAAGCTCTGTGAAGTTCAAACTCATGGAGTACGTAATTTATAAATTGAACCTCAAAAGTTTTTGTATACCTTTCTTTACATTTCAGTCCATCTTTAATTGCTTAGTCTCCTACAATTTTGAATTAACCCTTTAAGGTTGGTAGGGTTGTGATAGAGTGGGTTATATTGATCCCAGATCACAATTATAAGTATAAGAAAAACGATTGGCAAAAAGTAACTCAAAACTGGCTTTTGTACATAATTTAAATATATATTCTTGAACAATACATAAATTTCAATCTCTGGTTTCCGATTGCAAAAATACTGAAAATCGTCAAACTCGCAACTGTTTTCGATAACCGAAAAAAAAATTTTATTGACACGACTAAGCAATCAACAACACAATAAATGCTTTTCAACTATTGATTTGGTACAGTAGCTGCTAGGAACAATATTATTTGTTACACTCATGCAAATATGGCTTTTAAATACTGATGTAATCACCGAATCGCAATATTAGTATGCGCATATGGTAAAAAACTGCGTACTATACGGTTTCTCAATGAGGCTCACAAGTGTGTTAAGGAAAGAATTTATAAATGAATAAGCCAGCATACACTGCATATCTTACATCATACCGGTATTTTGTGTGTTTGTGCTTCTGATGGCACTCGCGATACATTTCAATTTACCTGCATCGCAGAAAATGAATCACGGTCACTGGATATATTCTGTTTACATAAATTTTGGTACATATTATTATGCTCATTAGTTTTGTGTTTGTTGAATTTTAAGTATGATGTTACATGGGATACCTACGCTAGAATCCGTGTCAATTTTTTCCGTCATTCACATTTAAGTAAAAAATTATTATCGGTCAAAATGTAATCAATCATAAGGAAAGAGGTCGTGGAAAATCACGCTTTCCAGTTGATGAAAGCTTCACTTATTTTCAGGTGAGACAGCGTGTGTGTAATTATGTTCTTCAGGGACCGCATATTGCCTAGTGGATAAAAACACATTATATACTGCTTTTTAACAAGGCCGGCTTTACTTCTTCCGTGATCGGAGCAAGTTAGGAAGCTGGAACTTGGATTAATAAAATTGATGTACAAAAACTAGATTTCACCGCAGAAGTGGCAGTAAAACTTCCTGGGCGCCATTGGGAATACTTTCTTACTGGAACTTTCGACCTACTTTATAACCCTAGAATACAAAATCACATAGATTCAAAATAGCGTTTTGGCAGTCTGTCAAATTTGAGCGTTTAACCATGCCATTAATCTTTCTCAGGTATCAATCTCCTTGTATTATGGTTTAGCCATAATGCTGAAAGACTGAACCGACATTCACATTTATACAGATTTATACACATTTTCTTATAGATATGTATAAATATAGGACTACTTAATCGTATAAAAGATAATTTGAATGCTTAACCTGTTTCTGATATCAAATAGTTTCACTTAATATTACATTAATAAGACAAGGATTACGCATCATTAATTGCATCATGAATCAGAGACCGGGATCATTTTTTATGGAGCTAAAGTTCAACGTGTTCTACATCAGCAATTGTTATTATGAGAGAGTTCGGGTAATCGAAATAAAATGTAACGTAAACCTTGAAACTTTAAAATGCAATGAAAAAATTGATTGTGAAATGCTTTCATTGTCAATTTATAAAATTAATGAAGTAATAATTACTCAGATATTTGTTGAGTTGGTGTCAGCAATTACCTCCAAAGGTTGCTGTAACGGTATCAAAATAACAATTTTCGTCAACAGGAAACTTTATTATTGACACTGTGAGATATTTCCGAGGATATTTCCGATGAATACAAGACCACCTTCATAAGAAACTTTCGATATCGACACCTGAGCAACAGAGTTTTTTTTGGGAATCTAAGGATTGATTAAACAAAACACTTGTCAGCGGTGGTCCAATCTACGACTATCTATAGATACTTTAGGTGGATGCTCTAGCTGCCCAAACCTAGCAATTCGTGATGAAAGCTATCTATATAATGTATAATTCTCTCGTGCAATCCTTCCTCCTTCCCCGATTCTTGATAATGAGATGTTATGAGCGCCACCTGTAGGCGGCAGTGAAAAGCGTCGCCCTCACGATGTCTCGAGCGCCATGTGTTGGTGCTAACAGAACTAGCAATGTCTTCTATCGGCAAACACCGGAACTTATTTTAAAATAAAATAGACCTCGAATTCATTCATACTATAGAGACCGTTTCGACAACATGCGACATATGCATAATTGGCAGACGATTGAGGAGAATAAGCAAGCCACAGTCGATAAATTGTAACAAAATAACTACAGTGGACCTCCGTTAATCTGGCCCCTGTCTAATCCGGCGCCCCTGTAATCCGACATATCTTCGAATATGTATTATGTACATACGTATTTGACAATCTTCGCTAATGTATATCATGCAGGTTTGAACAGGTTACAACTTGTACGCGTCACCGCTATCGTGCTCGACGCGTAAGCATTGTTTTACTTAGTTTGAATTTGACCACTTGTGATAGCGGTACGGCCTAGCGTGCGTTCATTGTTTACTATTTATTCATTGTGTATTAAGTATAGTACCTAGTAATTTTATCACAAACTCAGAAGCGAAAGCGCAAAACATTGACAATTAAAGAAAAATGTGATATTTTAGACCGCTTAAATCGCAATGAAACTTTCAGTAGTTTGGCAAGTGAATACGGCGTAGGCCGATCTACAATTTATGAAATTAAAAGAAACCACGAGAAGATCAAGAAGTTCGTGTCAACTACTGACTGCGGGCCAGGCAAGAGACAGACACTCAAGAAAGCTGAACATCTAGAAGTGGAAGAAGCTTTGAACATGTGGTTTCTTCAGGAAAGAAATAGGCATGCACCAATTTCAGGACCCATGTTGGCCATGAAAGCTAAGTTTCTTTATAAGGAAATAACAAAAAAGATGATTTTGTGGCCAGCAAAGGATAGCTAGAACGTTTTAAAAGTCGTCATGGCATACGTTTAATGACTATTACAGGAGAGAAACTTTCTAAAGATGCCACCTGCATAGAGCCCTTTAAATTAAGATTTTTGCAAAAGGTGAACGATTTAAATCTTGACCCGTCACAGGTGTACAATGCAGACGAATCAGGGCTTTTTTGGCGTGTGATGCCAAACAAAACTTTCGTTTTTTGTAACGAAAAATCCGTACCTGGACGAAAAGTAAGTAAAGAGCGTGTAACCATACTACCATGTGCTAACTCTGCGGGCATACACGCGCTTAAGATAATGGTCATTGGGAAATCTAATACACCACGGGCATTCAAAAACATTGATTTACCTGTACACTATTACGGACAAAAAAGTGCATGGATGACAAAAGACGTTTTCAAAAAGTGGTTTGATGAACGCTTCGTACCTGAAGTTATAAAATGGTTAAAAGATCATAATTTTCCTCAAAAAGCGTTGTTGCTTCTTGATAGCGCTCCCGGTCATCCGTCTGAAGAAGAACTAACAACTGAGGATAAATGCATCACTGCGACTATAAGAAAAACCTACTTTTGAGAGCCGTATCAAAAGACCAACCAATAGAAAAAACTTTAAAAGAATTTAATATGTAAGACTTGGTTTTTGCTCTTCGTCAGTCGTGGAATACGTTACCGTCATCAACTATGAAATCGTCTTGGAAAAAGTTATGGCCAGATGTACTCACCACTTCTAGCAACGTTCCACAAATCAGTGTTACTTCGGAAGTTATAGAACAAGTCGCTGCTGAAACACAGATAAGTCCGGACGATTTGGAAATCTGGTGCCGTGGAATGGATAAAGAGGAAAATGTTTTTCATGAAATGTCTGACGAAGAGATTATAAAAGAGGTTTCTAATTATACAACAAACAATCAGGAAAATAACGACGACATGATTGCAACTGCTCCACAAGTCACAGCCCAAGACGCAATTAACGCCTCGGTGCTAGGTTTACAATGGGCTGTAGAGAATGGTACATCCTACAACGAGCTTTTACTTTTGAGAAGACAGAGGGACAAAGCTCTGATCTCGCGTTATAACAACATTAAACAAAAAAAAATTGATGAATATTTCCAAGCTTCATAATTTGATAAATTCATTAATGATTTTGATTAATAATTCTTGATTATTTTGGTATATATGATTGTGCATTTATGCTTAATTTTATAATAAAACGTAAGCTCTCTATTGTTATTTAATTTACTAAATTCGACATACATAAACTATGTATGATTTGTACTTCAAAGTACATGCATATACATAACATATATGTATAATCTTACCATTGGATATGTAATTTGTCGGATTACAAGGTACTCTTTTGTAAAAAATTCTTCTATAGGGGGGTCTTAGGTAGTGCTCTGTAATCCGACAAATTCGATAGTCCGACACTGCCCTGCATAATGTTTGTCGGATAACCGGAGGTCCACTGTATATAGGCGCGTATTTGCTACAATAAGAAGCTCATGTTTAGATTGAAATGGACTAGTTTACTCTACTCCTATGTAACCATGACCAAGCTCAGACAGCGCTGTTTTGTGGGTGGCAATGGTTAGATTTTCACGTACTTGCGCACAATGTATCCTTGTGTTTTTCACTCATTTTGTCAACGCTCATACCATAATCGAGCACTGCAAGAACAAGTTGCAGCTATCTGCTCGAATTGTAAAGGTATTCCAGTTTGCATCGGAAGACGAGTCATCACTGTGACCACTAGATGCCGTCGATTCTGGCAATATAGTAGATGTGGTCTAGACACGACGGAGCAGTATTACTATTTTTCAATGGCGAGTAGATCGACCCCATCTATTATATCGTCTAAATCGACGGCATCTAGTAGCCACTTTTATAA